AATGTACAGATTCCTAGCACTTTGCATTAGAATATAGCGTACCAGTATGAAATACTCATGTTTTACATACTGGATATCCTCTTGTGCATTTAGCCCATCTGGGCAAGAACATGCAATAAAGATTCATATCATTATCATTATCATTATTTTTTAATGTTGTAAGTCGAATCAACCCTATCCCGTATACTGATATCTGTGAGGCAAGTGAGATGCGATGTCGCTGATAGAAAACGGTTGCTTGTCTCGCGAATTCGTATCACTGGATGGTTCTAGCTATTTATTGGTGGTACCCAAAAATAAAGGACTCCTTACGAAGCTTAATATTTATCGTTTCGGCTATTTTAAGTATGAAACAACGAAAATATGCTAAGAAATGGCAATTAATTTAAGCATCAGAAGACAGTTTTCCTAGCCTTTCCCAGCCTTCGGAAGGCGGCTGGAAAGAGTAGAAATTGGCCAAATAGAGAGATAACATGCCAGGAGTTGGTCTGCTGGAGAGAACAGTTCGGGTGCGGCAAACTGTACTCTCTAGCGGACCAACTCCCTCGGCGGTGGTAGAGGCTACAGTTTTCCTCATCTAGAATATTTTGCTTCTTCACTCTGAATTGCATTTTAGCTTTTAACATCTGTAGAATCTGAAGTTATATCTTGTTTTCCCACAATTAAGTCCACACAGTACATTCCCTCGTTATCATTAACTTGTAACCAACAATTAGCCCCCAGGCGAGAGTTTGTAATAAACTCTTTATAAGGACTCAAATTTGAAAACAAACACTATCTCATTTTTGCAGTCGCCGCCCGTAAAACAGGATTTCCAGCCGTCTGGTCCCATAGTGGGATGTCAGCCGTCTATATAAAATATCTCAGTTTATCTGTATAGCTTGTAGCTGTGTAGGAGTCAATTTTGTGTTGTAAGGCGACACTTCCTTAATTATATGGGGTGACATCACCCGAAACCTCCCAAAATGGGCGAATAAAAAAATCCGGCCGAAAAAAAATGCTGCTAAAAATGCACACTATGTATATTGACTCTCATGGAGCAAAAATACCCAAAATTCTGACAGAAAATGGTTAATGGAAGGGCCCTGGGCTGATTTGTAGGGTACCACCCATAAAATAAAGAACTCATCTTGGGGCTTATTTCTGCAGTTAAATACCCAAAGTATGACATACTGATTGAAATGTGCTAATGTAAAGCAGTATGTGTCAATATCATACAGATTGCCTTATTCAGGATACTTTTAGCTCCCGAATCTACAGTACGGGTAAGCTTTTCTATGGCTATTTTCTGATTGTATACATGTCAGTGTGTTGGCTATAGCTACATGTAGGTGCAGACAAAAGCACGTATACTCCATGGGGAGGGGGGCGTCGGCCCACTGAAAATTACTTCAATTAGCCAGATGATGCGGTCTTCAAAATCACATCGTCGCCGCCGCAACGGCGCGAAAATTGGACGTCCTGTCGTCTGACTGGTCCCTAATCTCATTAACGGACCGACTAGCCGGTAATTGTTCCGGGCTTTAATCCCCGCCAATAGAGACTTTGGGATCCTAGCTTCAGGCGAGTTACAGATCCTAGTGCATTGACATTGTTTTGTGTGTGTGTGTGTGTGTGTGTGTGTGTGTGTGTGTGTGTGTGTGTGTGTGTGTGAGTGTGTGTGTGTGTGTTAACGGCATCCAATGCAATTTTGGGGCAGCAAAACTGGAAATATGCTCACTGAATAAGGCAATCTATGTGATATTGACACATACTGCTTCACATTTAGAACATTTGAGTCAGGATTTCATACTTTGGGCATTTAAAACTGCAGAAACAAGCCCCAAGATGAGTCCTTTATTTTCCGGGTGGTACCTAAAATCAGCACAAGGCCCTTCCACTAACCATTTTCCGTCAGAATTTTGGTAATTTTGCTCCATGAGGGTCAATATACATTAGGACAGTGTTTTTTCAACTCAGTATATTGACTTTGAAAAAATCGGGTTTCCAAGTCATAAAAACTGCATTGGATTTTGCACTGCAATTTGAATCATATTTATCAAATATTTGGACAAACCTTCACTTACATACATAAGTGCTTACATTTTCATCATTACACTGAAGCTGAATCTACATATATTTATTATAATATAACACACTATTATATCTTGCATATATGTATATCGACTTTTTTCTTATTTAAAAATTCTTCTTTTTCTGACATGAACTGCGAACTACTGATATATATTTTATTGATAGAAAATGATTTATTTTATGGTCACTCTTCAACGCGCATCAACTTGGTGACGTCATATTCAGACGATATGTAGCGACGTGACGTCATATTCAGACGATACCTCAGCGTCTCTGTTGTTCCTGTTGTGTCATATCGAGAAATGTTATCTAAACTGTCATTGGCGCCTTGCACATGATTACTGCTCGTATCTCTGTTAAAGATCGCGTCCGCCGCCAAATGACTCTGAAATTGTTTTTGTTGGTGTCGGTGGTAATAATTGTTCTGTCCTTAAACTGAAAGAGATCAGTTAAGCCTACGGTTGTATTAGTCTCTTCCAGACTAACTACACTGGCTGTATATAGGAGAATATTTGCCGGGGGAGTTTGGCCGCCTTGTAGGCTCTTGACTGGCCCGCAGTTAGGAGGGAAAGAAACTACCTCCCCGCGGCCGGACTCCCTTGGCCAATTTTACTCTCCTTTTTGCCGAATTCTACGATCCGTCTACTATTGTATGGCGGAGGTCTAATACAATAACAATAAGTAAATAAAAATAATACAATAAATCTAATAACAAGTGAGAAGTAAATAAACATGCATGGGAGGGCCGGAAACCTGGTGGTTTATCTTTGGCCCTCCCCAATACTACAAAATTAAAATATGAATTACCATTATTTCTAGATAAACCAAATTTGTCGTTGAAGAGATTCATTTGAAATTTGAAACTTAAAAAATAAAAAAAATTAAAAAAAATCAAAGAAGTAATAAAATTTCAACCGCTTCTGAAGCCTGGTAGAGGCTAGTAATTTTACTATCGTTAACCATGACCTGTCCCGTGTTATGTCCTCAGTAGTAACCTTGTCATAAGAGTAACTGATATGTTGACTTGTACACTGTTGAAGACGTCTGCTGCCCCAGACAAGAGCCCTCAGTCCCGCCAAAACTGCGCACAAAAACACGTCAAGGGGCTCTTCATTCTCTTACAATCATAAACACAGTTCAACTGCCTCGGACTGTATGATTTCTGCTGTAAGTTTGGTCACTAAAAAAAGCTTTAAAATGACAGTAGGAAAGGCAAAAAGACGTCAAAAACACGTCAAGTGTCTCTTCATTCCCTTAAAAATCATAAACACAGTTCAACTGCCTTTGGCAGTATGATTTCAGCAAGCCACTAGTACAGGGTTTGGTCACTATGTTTTAAAATGACGGGGACATCCGAAAAGAAAACAAGACGCCAAAATTACGTCAAAAGGCTTTTCATATATTTTATAATTCAGAAACACAATTCAACTTAAGACATGGCGACGGTAGGGTGATTTTAAGTACTCTCCAAATTTTGGTGTATTTTTGGCGTTTTTATCTTTTTTGTAATTGCATATTTTTTTAAGTTCTGCCCGATACTGTCTTGCCAATTCGATACTGCATGAATTGCAGTCACTGAAAGATCTACTTGGATATTTAAAAAAAAACTTTCTTTTATAAAAAGTATGGGGATTTATTCTGCCAACCCTTGCTTACAGACAGTTACTGTGAGAGTGCCTCAGAAGTTTTCGATGTCAACTTTAAGAAACTTTCTATGATCTCCCCTCCTTACATCTCCCTGAAAATTAAAGAAATTGTCTTGCCATCTCGGAGACTGTTCCGTGCACCCAGACGCTCAATTACTCTCCCAGGCCGCTTCTGGTCGCGACCGCTCATGTCGATTTGTTTGATTAAGGTTGGATTAAGTCACACAGATCACCTCTTAAAGATTAAATTGATCCCATTAAACGTGGTTCAACTTGACGTTGTTGTTATAAGAACTCCTTGGCGACCTTACTTGTGAAATGAGGTGATACACAGAGACAGTTAGAACGTAGTAATCAAGATACATGTTAGCCTGGCTGCCAGACTGTTTCGGTACATTGTGTATCAGTCTCCAAAAGAACGGGTAGTACTATACTGTGGCAATCGCTTAAGTTACGATACTCAATCATGACATCTGCTTGTTTTTTATTCACTTCTTCCAAGACTGTGACCAGTTTTGTAGCTAGCGTTCAACTGATCTCAAAAACACATTTGTACGTACATTAAGTACTAGTATACGAGAACGAAGTGTCGGAGTATGGATCATCTGCACGTACGTGTCAGTGGGGACCCCTAGCGATCCAAATTATATTTGCCAGTGCTGCATATGGCTTTTGCTGCAATAACTTCAGCTGTTTGGCGCGCCTTTTTGGACCGTGCATTAAAGGTAAGATATTCTTACAAGAGAAACTAACGACTAAATGTGTACTTTCTTGTCGATAAGTAGTCGGGTAGCAGGAGCCGGTATTTGCCTAACTCTGCAACTGAACAAAACGTATGGAAATGCATGTGGACAAGAAATATAACAGACAAAAGTTTTATGGCCTTATGCCATTTCTGATGACTTCATTACTTTTAATTCTACGTAATACAATAGATATAATAAGTACAATAGATATAATAAGTAATACAAAATATGCCACAAAATAACAAAATATTACGTACAGTTGCATAGAATAGTCCCACATCTAATGTGAACCAAAAGCTTTACAATCAAATATGAAAAACAAATACAAAGTAAATGCAAAATATACAGTCATCAGACTGGAATAGGTCTTTATGGGTTAGTGCAGTGCCTATGGCACAATGTTTGTCTATCTTACCACAGATAAATTACTGCAGATAGTGTCAAGCCGACACTATGTGAACACAAAGGCAAGATAGATGGCAAAACATTATGTGAATGAGTTTTCTGTCTGTGAAAAAGTCGATCATCAGAACATCAGAAATCTAAGTCCCTAAAATATGCAGTACAAAATTATTAGGCAGAAAAATGTGACCCTGTGCTATGATTTTCCGTTCTGCTACCCAAAATTTTTGTTTGAAATCACACACAAATTTTCATGGGCACTAAACTCAAACCCTATTATTCTTTCATAAACAGACTACACAACGCCCACAACTGAGTGATACAGATGGTCTTATGTCCTTGAGTACATGTAATCACTATAGACTGTAATATTTGCATTGCATATCATTCAAATTAATTCAGAGCACAACCAACCAATACTGCATTTTGAACCTTTGCACATTGCAGCCTGCCCCTATCCCTTATTAGTGTTCTTTTCAAGAACACAGGACTTAAGGCTACTGGCAACATTCATATTGATGTTTAGAACATCTCTGGTGAGCTGGGATTCGAACCCATGACCTAGAGTTGACTAGAAGTATTGTGTGGCATTGGTATCTACCAAGTTATTAATACACAGAAACTTATCATCTGCATAAATTCAAATTTTGATATATGTGTCAGAACTAAGGAATCTTCACATATCTTGGCATGGTTATTAAAGGAGTTCTGAAGTCCAGCCGGAAGTGCTATTCTGATGTTGATTATTTTTCTATTGTCCCCAAAATGTCCCAAAGTGTCTTTTTAGTTGTCCCAACCTAAATTTTAGTGGTCAGTGGCCACCTTTAATTTATTAATTTCGAGCCCTGAAGAGGTGCCAATCTACTGTTATCTATGAGTTGTGTAACTGGTTGGTTGAGAGACTGGTGTCTGTAAGGTTGATCCAGGGGCTCCACACCCCTCCGTGGTATTTTGGGTTCCCCCGCGGGTCGGTCGGCTGATTTCTGATGGGAACCGCCGTTGCGTTGTAGGCCTGGAGTCTTCCCATGAGAAAGTCGACCAGTTTTGGGTTCCAGTCTGCGATGTTGTTAAACTCGCAAGGATCCTCCTGAAGAAAAGAAGGAAGGAATGAATGAATGAATGGATGGATGGATATATGAATGAATGAATGGATGGATGGATAAATGATTGCATGAGTGAATGAATGAATGAATTTTATTATTGTTAAGAGTTAAAACTTTTTGTCCAACACAAAATGTTCTCACACCTAGAGCTTTCGACCAGTCACTCTGGTCTTCCTCAGTAGACTGACCCAGTGAGGCTTGTCACATGGCTTCTTTGAAGTGTGACGTCAACACTTAGCTTCAAAGAAGCCACATGTCAAGCCTCACTGGGTCAGTCTACTGAGGAAGACCAGAGTGACTGGTTAAAAGCTCTAAGTGAGAGAACTTTTTGTGTTGGATCAAAAGTTTTAACTCTAAACATGTAACTACCAACACAGATGAACTTTCATGATGGTATCAAATATAGTTATGCAATTTACAAATTGATACAAAATCAAAGTAAATGTTTCTGTACATGTTGAAAATGTACCTTAATGTTGAAGACACACGGAGAGTCCCGAGGCTTGCAGTTGGTTGACGCGTTGGCGGGCTTTTCGCCGCACTTGACTTTCAGCGGTCCGGACCAGCGTGGCACGTGATTCGTCTCTTCGCTGCGGTTGGTCGTCACGCCCTCCGGTGGATACCACCCGTCCCAGGCTCCTTTGTGTATGAATAGAAGAAGAAGAACTTTACTGCGCAACAGATGTAGCGGGTACAAGGTAAGGAAAAATATACATACATAGTTGGTGATGCTAGCATACATACATAGTTGGTGATGCTAAAAATATCTAACAGTTCTACTAACTGCACTACAAATCTGGTCTACTTTGAATTCATAAACAATGTATAACAATGAAGAGACAATAATAATATTATAACAGTAATATATTGTGTCAGGAAATTTATTACATTTTCTCGTTTTGTCAGCGAATTGTGTATAAATTGGCCTACATATACAGGACATGATAGTAGCATATTGAATATCTCTGTCTTTGTATGGGGTAGCGTTATGGTTATTTGACATTTCACACACATGTCATACTTGTAGTCCTAAGACTGAATTATGGTCCATGGTAATACATACATTATCATGGACTTATACAATATATTACTAAAGGTTAAAAGACATAATTACACAACAAATTCATCAAAGTTATTGCACTCAAACACACCACAACTACAATTTATCTGTATCTGTATCTGTATAGCCGGTATAACCGCCTTTCGGGCGTAACACACCAGCTTCGCAGGCACGTGGCGCGGCGGAAGCTAGCTACATTACACAGAACGACTTGTTACACCTAACCCTTGAACATCTAACTCTAGACATTGTTTAAAGCTATCTAATGACAATGCCCTTACTGTACTTTGTGGCAGCGAAAATATGTACAGTCAAAGTATGCAAGATAAAAAAAACTAACCCTTGTAGGCTTCGCCGAGGATTATTTTGTGATCGCGGTATCGCAGGGCCGCGGTTTTCCGCTTCGGATCGATGTTGTGCAGCACTTCCACGCGTGGCGACTCCTCTCCGCGTGAAATCGTCTCCCAGACATTCGAACCATCCAGATTCTTCAGTTGGGTCGAATCCCCGCCTGCGAGGGCGTAGATCGTCGGCAGGAGGTCGCAAACGTGTAGAAGCTCGTGCGTCGTCCGTTTGGGTTGTTTGATGAGGGGGCTGTGGACAAAACCCGTCCCATGGACACCCCCCTCCCAGAGTGTGTTTTTAACACCCCTAAGGGGCCAGTTGCTGGCGTAGTTCATGTCGAAGCCGGCGGCAGGACCCCCGTTGTCGGTGGTGAAGATGATGACAGAGTTTTCTAACATCCCGCGGGCAGACAGAGCTTTGGTCACGTTACCTACCGCATCATCTAGTGCTGAGACCATGGCTGGAGGAAAAACACAAAAACAATAATAAAAGAATTATAATATATGTCATAAATGATAATAATACAGATGACAAATTAGATAAAAAATCTACAATGTAGTTCTGCACAATTCATTTGGTGGTTCATAATCATATCTTGGTTTAAGAAAAATTCCAGAGAACTAAATAGATTTGTATCTGTATCAGTATAGCCGGTATAACTGCCCTTCGGTGTAACACATCGGCTTCACAGGCACGCGGCGCGGCGACAGCTAGCTATATTACACAGAACGACTTGTTACACTCAATCCTTGCACAATCCATTGCAGGAGTTGTTTAAAGATTTCTAGTGATGATGCCCCAACTGTGTTTGGTGGCAACGAGTTCCAGTCTACGATAGATCAAGAAGAAAGCAAGAGGCTGAAGATAAAGTGTGCACCTACCAGCGAACGTCCTCCTGCCAGGGTGCTGGATGTGGGGGAACTTATCAATGTACTTCTGGGGGGCCTGCAGGGGGTCGTCAGGGTTACCAGAATGCACCGCTTGATGGGGCAAGTACAGGAACAGGGGCTGGGGGGATGGGGAAAAAATTCATGAATAACCGAATACTAGTAATGTATATTATTATAATAGTATACACGCAGACATACATATGGCCTAGGAAAAAAATGTATCTGTATCTGTATCTGTGTAGCCGGTATAACCACCTTTCGGAGTAACACACCAGTTTCTGTATCTGTATAGCCGGTATAACCGCCTTTTGGCGTAACACACCAGCTTCTGTATCTGTATAGCCGGTATAACCGCCTTTTGGTGTAACACACCAGCTTCGCAGGCACGCGTCGCGGCGGCAGCTAGCTACATTACACCGAACGACTTGTTACACCTAACCTTAACTATGTAAGCGTGCCACACAGCACAGTTCGACTGTTGGGGGTGAAATATGAGTATTTTTTAGTTGATTCAAAACCAAAGTCTTTTCAAATCAGAAAAAAATGCAGAAGCAAATCCGAGAACCAACAAATTAAATTGGTGTGGCCTTACTACCAACACAGATAGCAATCATGACAACATTCACCTTGTCAGTATCGTGGTTTGCGATGATCCTCTCAGCCTCTGTGGCGAACAGTTCCGTACTGTACGTTCCGTTTTCCGTCCACACCGGCTCTGTCCCGTTCCGCAGGTCCAGACCCTTGTACCCAGTCTGTAACCATGGATACAGGGGGTTACTTTCCATTATAGAAGAGAAAAATACTATAAATCTTGAGCAATGTCACAATTCTTTTCAAACTGATTGAAAGAGTATCATTAATTTCCACTGAATTATGGTGAGACAGCTAATTTCAGCACAACTTGTAAGATCACACTGATTTTTGTCATCTGGAAGTTCCAAATTCACAGTGTCCTTCTGGATTGAAAGTGACATTGCTGACAGGGCTCTTAGCCAGCTTCAAATTTTTTCTGTCAGCCCAGGTTCATCATCAGATTTTGCTTGCCATCTAGGGTGGTCTGCAGCAAGCCTTCAAAAACACAATTTCCCACATTTTCAGAGGCAAATCATGGTGTTGAGAGTGAGCGTCAGTGGTCCTTCAGATGTTTTCATACTTTTACCCAAGATTTTTTGTTAATTTTGTCTGTCAAGGTTGGCGGATTGGTTTAAAAACATTCCCCTTCACACACTGCAAAGTTCTAGTAATTGACAGAAAAACAGGTGCTGGCTTAAAAGCCCTAGTTGCTGACTGTCCTGACCTCTCCTTTACTGTTACTTTCATCGTCTGTGTGATCGTAATAGTTGTCCTTCCCGGTGAGGTAACCAAAGTAGGAGTCAAACCCGCGGTAGGTCGGTGTGTGTTCCCATGTGTGGTGGCCAAGATGCCACTGTGTCAGCGGAAACACAAGAAAAACAACAGAGATTCTGTAAACAGCATGAAACAACTAGCCTCTACCAGGTACCGCGGATCGCTGAAAAAATAGTGGGTCGCAAATTGGATCTTCTATGGCCTGGGATCTTCTCTGGTATACTATCCCTTTATTTCGGCCAATTTCTGATACTTTTCCAGCAATCCACGGTGTCTGGTCGAGGCTATGAAACAACAACACACCTGCAAATGTCGTGCCAAGAACATTGGGGGGCAAGATTGTCTTTTTTGCTTGAGTATAACCCTCGGAAGATGGGGAACAACAGATGCTAAACTGGACAGTGAGTGAGTGACCCACAAGCTTTTGGCATGACATCTGCAGGTGGTTGCCCCCGGTTACACGAGACTGTTTACCGAAGCGTGTATCGCGTTGATATGATCCATGTATCCCTCCGCCCCGGTCCAGTAGCCAAAATACGAGTCAAACCCGCGAAAGGTCGGGGTATACTCCCACGCGTACATACCCAGATGCCACTGCAATATGGTCAAAACAAGATCCAAACTATCATGAAAGTTCATCTGTGTTGGTAGTTACGTGTTTAGAGTTAAAACGTTTGGTCCAACACAAAAAGTTCTCTCACCTAGAGCTTTTGATCAGTCACTCTGGTCTTCCTATGTAGACTGACCCAATGAAGCTTGCCAGTGTTGACGTCACACTTCAAAGAAGCCACATGACAAGCCTCACTGGGTCAGTCTACTAAGGAAGACCAGAGTGACTGGTCGAAAGCTCTAGGTGAGAGAACTTTTTTGTGTTGGACCAAAAGTTTTAACTCAAAACAAAGAACTAAACTGTACACAGACATGAAATTAAATCCAATCAGAAACAGAGCATACAAAATATAGTGCAATGCTGCATTTTAGGAAAAGTTACAAGCTTGCCAATGCAAACTCAGGAAAGTTTTTGAGTAAGAACTGCAAGTAGTGAGTTAAAATTTATATTACATCAAAGGAGCTTCAGACTTTGCAACAGAGCACCAAGCATGCTTTACCTTCCCCACCATGCCAGTGGTATAACCCCGCCTCTTTAATTGCATTAGGATTGTTTCATTTAGAGACAGTTTGTAGGGGGTTAAAGCCACCATAGCCCAAAGTCTTCTATTAGGCTTACCTGTGCTTATATCCACCAGCTTTTAACTACATGTAGGCAGGAGAGCAGAGAGAGCACCAAATCCACCGACCTCCAAGCAGTTATATGAGTTGGGCTTGTCTTGTGGGTTTTTCGTTGTCTTTTCTGCATTTCTACATATTTCTTTTAGCGAGAGTTAATTGTGTTGAACAGGAAAGGCCAGAATATACTCTCCAAGCAGAGGTGTGGGTTTTGGGTTATTTTTGGCATGTTTTTAAACTTTTTTTATCTGGATTTTTTTTTTGCATTGGGTTGGGTGAAACAAAAATTCCAGTGCAAAAAAGAAACCCCGGTAAAAAGGCTAAAAACACACAAAAAAACCCCAAACCTCTGCTTGGAGAGTAGCCAGAGTAGCCAGAATGCAAGCCCAACCAACACATCTGCTGGGAGACACAAGTACCCTTACCTTCCCCACCATACGAGTGGTATAACCCAGTTGTTTCAGGTACTGTGGTAGGATCGTCTCATTCAGAGCCAGTCCGTAGGGTTGCGCACTTACTATCACGAAGTGCTGTAGGCCTATAAAATTAAACAATGGTCACACCGTCAATGTTCAAACATCTGCGATACCCCGGCTAGGATGCTTACCTTCCCCACCATGTGAGTGGCATAACCCAGTTGTTTCAGGTACTGTGGGAGGATCGTTTCATTCAGTGGCAGGCCGAAGGGGGTGGCACCGGAAATCACGCCGTGCTGCAAACCTACATAGGGTAAAGCGTTAGGCCTAGGGGAATAAATGTTGTGTTTCCTGTTTCAGTCCTGAAAAACTTAGGGTCGGTAGTTAGGGATTATCTTTTTTCCTTTTTTCTTCTTTTCGACTTTGGCAATCTCTACTGATTCAACTTATACAAAACAGTATTAACAAAGTAAAAATTTCAACAAAGCAAAAATTGCATGAGGACACTGATTGTACAAGGTTTCATGACTCAGGTGTAAGATCATGGAGCTAGAAAAGGTTGATTAGCTTTAAAAATTTATTTCCCACTGCACACAAAAAAGGCTAGGGTCAGCAGTTTTTTTCTATGATCGGTTGGGAAACAGGAAACACAACTTTTGACAAATTATTTATACTTAAACACACAACAAAAGTTCAGCTATGCTGGGGAGCTTTCGAGACGTACTCTGTCTCTTCATCAACCCGATTCAGATCTCGTCTTGGAGTTCTCTTGTCACGTGACTTGATGTGATAATCACGTGACAAGAGACAGTCATATACAGGAAACAGAACATTTCCTCGGCGAGACCTGTATGTATGGGATGTCGTCCTGTCATGAGAGCACTGCGGGTCGGTGTACAGATGGGAGACACGTAGTAGTTCCCCAGGATCACACCGCTATACGCCAGACTGTCCAGGTTAGGCGTGGGGATCTGATCCGAACCATGGAAACTCACATCATTCCAACCCTGGAAATCAATGAAAAGTTTATTGCAAATACATGCCCAAGGGCTAATTGCAGTTACAAACAACATGTACGAAGAAAGAAAATACAATGGTATGTGGGACTACGTCTAACATTATACTGTATTCTACAACATACATGGAACTAGTTTTGCTGCATCAATGATAATATAAAGGGAACATTACTTTTATGGGGGACATTATTATAATAGCTTCTTTGAAGTGTGACGTCAACACTGGGTCACAGGTATCTGGTAGACGATGTCGGCCCCCGTCGCGGTTCAGTGAAGGGCCATGATGTATATAGCCTCCTTCACCCCTCTCAAGAAATAGTCTTGTGTTGACGTCACACTTCAAAGAAGCCACGTGACAAGCCTCACTGGGTCAGTCTACTGAGGAAGACCAGAGTGACTGGTCGAAAGCTCCTGTGAGAGAACTTTTTTGTGTTGGATCTCAAGTTTTAGCTCTAAACATGTAACTACCTTGACACAGATGAACTTAAATGATAATCCAATAAAATTCATTTACATTATGTAACATTACTTACCAAATCATCGGCAACAATGAGAATGATGTGTGGAGGTTGTGTTGTCTTGGACGAAGATGGACCAACACACAGAGCAGCAGCCAAGAGGAGCAACAATGCCCCCTTGTGGCCAACAGCCATCACTGCAGCTGTCTGAAGATTCTCTCACTAAAGACCTGCAACTATTTAAAAATTAAAATGTTGTTTCTGTTACGTTTGTTTTTTGCCTGATTTTGGAAAAAAAAAAGAAATTTTATTGCCCTTTGACAGTGGTCAACATGCCAAAAATGAGCAAAATGGCAGCCTTGTCATGCTGGAACGTGTATGGCAGATAAACATGAAGAGAGGAGACAAGACAAGGCTCTGATTTATTGTTTTATTTTAATGCAGATATGCATTTCATTCCTTTCATATGTTCCCACTGAATCAAAACCATTTAATTTGTACAATGATTGAAACCTTTTTCAAAGTTGTTTCAGTGACAAATGGATGTTGTGATAGTTGGCAGTTAAGTTAGCACAATATTAAGTATCGTTTCCTGTTAAACAGGGTTTATGATGTCAAAATTTGAAAATATAGGAATCTTGTTTTTTGGGGCACACCTTTTTTTTGACCCGCTCGCATTAGATTTGGAGTCTGTGGAGGATGTCATCCATATAATTTACTTGCTATGGCCTAAGATTGAGACTGCAAAAATTTGCACTTGTACATTGTATATGGATCCGCCAAAATGTGTATTGTGAAGCAGAAATCCGGCAACAGTGTTTTGTTATCAGGCCCCTGTATCTAACCACGGACGTTCTATAGTCAGAAAACCGGTTTTACGTGACTCTTTTGGTAGCTTAAAAAATCAAGTTATGTTTGACTAACGTATATCCACGGTTAACTATAAAGTTACTAAGTGCATTTTGCTCTTAGTAGTCTTACCTTAGATACACAGAGAAGTAACAAAATTTATACAAATTTATCTCTTTGTTTGTTTGATCAAGGACGAAAGAATTAAGTTCATGATCATGTGATATGGGGGAATTCGAGCTCAACATAACTAGTAAAATACTTGCAATATTCTGCCTTTGCAAAGGTACCAACGTGCACGAAACTGAGCTAGCAATCCTTAGAGTAATGTTACCTTTCTCTGTTGACCACAAAGAGCGGAGAAAGCCCTGTAGAGGTGGGAAAAATCAACAAAACAAGGCGAAGGTATAGGAAGTCGGACTGGTCCCGCTGCAATGTTTTCAGGGTTAAAGGTCATATAGGGTCAGCAATTCGGGGCTTGCTTACCCAACCTAGTGTCGCAATATGTCAAACCGTAGATGTCAGCGTTTCTCACTACCGTACTTGAAAATTACTGATCATTCCCAAACACGCGTAATCCATATATCATAGAGAAAGAAAAATGATATGAAGAGATTATAAAAAGTTGAAAAAGGCATATAATTGGGTGTTCAACCATTTTAAAGGTCTTTCTTCAAATATTGTGCTGAAAAAAGAAGCTTTTGGCAACAGTAATTCGAGGCTTGATTCCCCAACCTAGTGTCGCAATATGTCAAACTGCAGATGTCAGCGTTTCTGGCTACTGTACTTGAAAAATACTGATCATTTTGTTAAATCCATGTATCATATTGCATAAAGAAAAAATGATATTACAAGAAGATTATAAAACATTGAAAAAGACATATTACTGGATGTTCAGATAGATTTATTCAAAGATTTTAAAGGTCTTTCTTCAAACATTGCGCTGAAGAAATAAGCTTTTGGCCACAGAAAAACTGCTGAGTGATTGTGTGGGAATTTTAAACCAGTTTCATGGTTTTTGTCATAAAATTTTCAATGGAATCTAGCACACAGTGTCTCAAATATATTGTAGTTATGAGTAAAAAATGACAACCCCACATTGTAGCTCAAGGGCTACTATAAGAGTTTATAGAAGTAAAATGCTGGCTTAATTCCATATTGGCCCTCCCAAAGAAAGATACTTGTAGAGAAAATATTCCAAAGATACTACAACAAAGAACTCTTATAAAGACTAAATGTATTGTATTTGACACAGAAATGTAAACTGCAAAAGCTGGTGTGTTACGCCGAAAGGCGGTTATACCGGCTATACAGATACAGAAATATCCAATCTCAAGAAATGTACAACACAATAGAAACATCAATATACAAAATATGCATGATGTGCAGAATTCTGACACTAAAACTGTGCAATTTTAACAAAACTTAAGTTTATGGCAAAGAACAACCTGGCTTCTGTATCCGACACAAGAATTCTGACACTAAAACAGTGAAATTTTAACAATATTTCAGAATGGAAAAGAACAAGCTGGCTTCTGAATCTGACACAAGATTGGTCAACCTACCACTATGAACATCTACATGTGCTGAAGAGAAACACTGGATAGATATTATTCTGTATACAACACAGAATATACAGTATAATGTCAGAATATTCATGTACCATCAGCAATGGTGATCGTATAAAGGAAGGTCAGAATCGTAGTCTCTACCAGACTCTTTTTGCAGGCTGACAAATAGTATAAATGGGCCTAAAAAGGGAATATCACTGGCCAGAAGAGTTGGACGCCATAGAATCTCTAGTTTGCCTGCATAGCCTATTCCTCTGGCCAATGATATTCCCGTTTTTAGGCCAATTTCTACTATTTATCAGCCTGCCAAAGGAGTCTGGTGGAGACTACCAGATTTGGCCAATGACCACTTGGTGTGGTACTACTGCAGCTGTTATTATTGAGAATTCATACAGTATAGCATTGATATGATTTCAATGCTGCACTCACAAGAAGCATAGTAGTGCAGATATGCTGGAATATCAAGGGTAATAATAATAATTGTTTATTTGCAAAATCATGCCCGAAGGCTAATTGCGTGTACAGTCAATTATACAGAAACAGGAGACAGGTAACAATCTGTCTGGAAAAACCTCTACTTCTACTACTACTCTAGCTATTAAGGGGTTCGACTTCTTCTTTGAAGGCAGTGGATAATGAATAGTCCCACATTCTGCATAATTAGTGGGTTTTGTGATCTTAGTAGAAATGTAGTCTTTTGGTGATCTTCTAAATGACGAAATGATGGAGAGATTGTTGTAATTGTCTGAAATAATCTGTTTCTTTCGGTCTCATAGTGAGGACACTGGCTAACAAAATGTGTTTCATTTTCCACTGCATTCATTGTACAATATTTACATAATCTCTCATGCACAGGTAGTTTTCTATAGCGACCTTTTTCTATCTCTAGTGGATGCGCACTTATTCTAATCTTACACATGGCAGCTCGTTCGTCGAATTCATTGTGGTATAGATATTTTTCCATGGAGTATTCGGATTTGACGGTCTTGTAAAATCTTAGCTTGCCGTTATCTACAGACAATTGGTGAAAGAACGTTTGAACATACATATCAGTTAGTCTTCTCTTCAACAATGTACATATACTCTTAGTTGTCTAAAGTACAGTGGTTGGTGTTCCAATAAAAAGAATAGCCTGCATTGTTAATTATTTCTTTGACATGGTGTAGCCAACTTTTCTTACCACTATTTCCCATATTGTGTTGCTGACAGAGTAATGCATCTACTTGTAAGGGGTGTGTGAAAGTGTCCAGTTGTTTGAGTCTTAACCAGTATTTAACTACACGGACGGATACATCTATATCTGTTGGGAACAACCCAAGTTCTGCCCTACTTGCTAGGTTACTAGAATTCCTGTGCACACCAAGAATATTTTTACAGAAGCGGTTCTGAGTTATCTCTACAGGACAATTGTCATTTGAATAATCTTTACCCCAGATCTCACAGGCGTATAACATTATAGATTTGATGCACGCATCAAAGAGTTTGAGTAAGGCCTTGGGGGACAAAGAGGTGCGGATGAGGGGTTTAAGACTAAATATTGCTTTACGAGCTTTTAAAGATAATTGTTTTTTGGCCAAAGAATAACTGCCAGACGAAGACATAATTATACCTAGGTAGGTATATGAGCTTGTGATTTGGATATTTTCTGCGCCAAAGGAAAATTTGGTGTTCTTGAATGTTCTTCCTGTTTTGTTGAAAATCATCACTTTGGTTTTCTTCAGGTTTACCTGAATGTTCCATTTCTCACAAAATGCGTTCAGCTTGTTTAGCGCACATTGTAACCCTGTTTCCGATTCCGAAAACATCACAACGTCATCTGCATAAAGCAGACAAGATACTAGTAAATTGTGTAAGGTTGGTGGGGCGCAATCAATATTATCTAAGTCATTAACTAGGTCGTTTATGAATATATTAAAGAGGGTTGGACTGAGGTTGCATCCTTGTCTGACTCCTTTGTCAGTAACAAACAATGGTGTGAGGCCGGCTGACGTTTTGACACAAGTTTGTGGGTTGGTGTACATAGATTTGATTAAACTGTAGAATTTACCACCTATTCCTGAGCTGAGTAGTTTATACCGCAGTCCTTCGCGCCAAACGCTATCGAAAGCTTTACGGAAATCGACAAAGCATGCATAAAGACGTTTATTGGCGTTAGTGTATTTAGATATTAATGTATCAATGACGAAGAGGTTGTCGTTAGTTCCAAAGTTTTTTCTAAAGCCGGCCTGGTTAGGGGAAATGAGGTTATGTTCATCTAGGTAATTAGTAAGACGTGTGTTTATTACAGCTGTAAATAACTTAGCGAGGCAACTGATAACTGATATACCCCGATAATTGTTGGGATCTTCCTTAGGTCCACCTTTATGCAGTGGAACTATGTGGCTTACGCGCCATTGTTGGGGAAAGTGTCCGGATAAAAGAAACAAATTGAATAATTTGGTGAGGGGTTTGACAAGGATAGGAGATGCGCATTTTAGCATCTCATTAAGGATAAGATCGTTGCCTGAGGCTTTGTTATTCTTTAATTGGATGATTGCTTGCATGATTTCCTGTTGTTGAATAATAGTATCTAAATTATTAAGGCTTTCGGACTGTTCTTCTAATTCTAATAATTTATTTGCTATCTGAGTTTGAAAATGATTGTTGAATTCTGGGGACTTAGATGTACTGTCTCTTCCGTACAACCCTTGGAAGTGTTCGTGGAGTTCCTGTTTGTTAATTGTGTCTTCTACAGGGATGGAATCATTTGTTTTGAACTGTTTAACCAGCTCCCAAAAGGCTGACGGGTTGTTGCCAGAGTAAGAATTAAGTTGATGGAGGATATTGTTTTTGTAGGTAATTTTAGTTTTACGAATAAGTCTGGTGTATTCTTTTTTCTTCTAAAATATAGGCCTCTAATAAAAGGGTCCCTGGGATTTTTTGAGAGGAGCTTTCCAAGGTCTTTTAGTTTCTTTCTGGTAATAGCACAGTTCTCATTAAACCATTTCTTTTTGTTTTTGTGTTTGTGTTTGTTACGGGAATGGGTTGCTTGCCTTGTACGGCGTAGAACTAGTGATTTTTTGCCTGCTTCTTGTAGAGGAGAAACTAGGTCATTCAAAGCGGCATCAAGAGAATTTGGGGTTGCCTCGTAGCTCCTGTTGAGAAAGTTTTCCATGGCGGAGGTAAATTCGAGGCTATTTACTATTTCTAGAAACTTTTGTTTGGAGTCAGCTCTCCATACAAATTTACAATGTGGCCGAGTAGACAATGTGTTAGTAGTCTGTTCATAGAGTCGGTTAGCATTGCTATGTAAAATTAGGGAGAGTTTACAATGGTCGGAGAGTGGGGTTAGCGGATGAACATGGAAAAAGGAGATTTTATGGAGGAGAATGTTTTCACTAGCTAGAATGTATCATGTCAGTATTCCATTGTATTTCATCTTTATTGTGCTAACACTAATCTCCTTACAGTTGGAAATATAATGTAAACTGCAAAAACTTAAGCCAAAAATCTGGAGCAGCTACTATATGGCAAGATCTTAGATAATATTATCAAGACTGCATTTTGAACACATTGCACACAATGTTTAGCAACAGTTGAAAGGCACAAGGTGTTACACAAAGTTTTCATGATTCTGTTTCAGGTGCATTTCTCAAAATCAAAATACAAACGTACAATGCCCAAGAATGAAAACCATCAAAGATATACAAAGTAACAAGACTAGTTACTACAAATGTCCTTAGTTAGAATTCTTAGTACATATAATCTTAGCATAATCTCACATGTTGGCTACGTTCAAATGCGCATTATTGCATAAACATCATTCATATGTATGTAGATCTATAGTACATGATTTTCAAAGTGTACTCTTTGCTGAAAGACTTCGAAAAATTCAAACTACAGTACAACATGAAAAAAGTCTGTACAGCCTTTTGTGTACATGTAATAGTATGATACAAAATACAATCGTCAATAATCTTGTAACTTTTAAATCTCTTGATCTGTTTGCATGTGCATCTCAATGACGTAGGCATACATGATTAAACTTGCACTTGAATGGTAATAAAATATTTTTCATAGAACCGTCTATGGTTTAATCCTATTATGAACAGCAGAAAAGTTGTTACAGTAGTGCCTGCATTGTAACGTTTTAATGAACTTGCACATGAATGGTAATAAGAAATCTTATACTTTTTATAACACTGCGCATGGTTTAAACTGATCTACTAATTATGGAGAATTCATACATGTAGAAAAGTAGTCACAGTAAGGCTTGCAGTATAACAGAGCTATGCCAATCCATTGCTACCCTTGAACAAAATAATGCTAAATCAGAATATCGACATTAAAACAGAGTCATACTTAAATTTGGTACATCAGGGTTCATCTTCTAAAGAATGTGACTTAAGTTTTTCTGTTTTTCCCTTGATAAATTTGGCTTTAAAATGTCACAATATGTCAAAGAAAAGAAATTGACATCGGGAATGATTGTAGTTTTCCCTCTGCCTCTGTTTACATCTAGTCTTTTTTGGCAATTGCATACTTTTAGACATATAGGAAACAAGGATACTAAGTGTCATGGCTTTGTAGACCAATAAAACAATCATGATGTGCTTCTTACTTCTAAATGTCTAAGAAACAAGGAAACTAAGTGATGTGGCCCTGTAGAACCTTCTTAAAAAAATCAAGACATGCTTCTTATTTTATGATGTCTACGAAACAAGGAAAGTAAGTGGTACAGTTTTGAAAACCCTTCCAAAAAGAATGAAGATATGCTTTTAACTCTAATATACAATGTCAAAGAAACAAGAAAACTAAGAGATGAGACCTTGTAGACCATCATAAAAAAAGACATGCTTTGTACTTGAAAATGTCTAATAAACAAACGAAGTGGAATGTCCTTGCAGACTCCAAAAACATAAGCTGTGCTTCTTACTCTAAAATGTGAAAGAAACAAGTCAAGACATGCTAAAGATACTTAAAAATGTTTAAGAAACAAGGAAACTAAAAGGTGCGGCCTTGTAGACCCTTCTAAAAAAATCAAGACATGGTTCTTGAGTTGTCCTGGGTGTAGAAGATGTGGTGTAGAAGGTTGTGAAGATCTGTAGTGTTGGGGTCAACGAGGTTTGCTTTCCTCTTACACCTGTTCCACCTGTGCTGAAGCTGTGTGAACCCCTGGAGGCCTGATAGGATGGTGAAGGGGAGATGCCTGGGGAGGTAACTATCCAGTTTACCTGCCTGGAGACGGACAAAAAATAATGTCAGAGATGGCAGACTTCACCCCCTCAGGTGGGACATACAGAAACTGCACTGCACATGTACTAGTAGAAACTGCAAATGTATATCTAGCAGAACATACAGAAACTACAGTGTAGACACATGCGCACACAGAAACACAGAGTGACACACACACACAAACACACTCACACACACACACACAGACAGAGTAACACACACACAGACATACGCACACACACACACACACACACACACACACACACACACACACACACACACACACACACACACACACACAAACAGAGTAACACACACACACAGACACACACACTAACAGATTCATTGGTGTTGGGCGATATATGCAAATGAGCAAATAATTTGCATATATGGGCCAACACCAATGAAGCCGCTACCAGAGGTATATGTGTAGACTCACCACCATGCAGATTGCCGAGTCAGCTGATGCACAAGGAGGGTGGAGGTAGAAGTGTCTCTTCCTGCCCAGCCTGCAGTACTCCTCACAGGAGACAGGGGGCCTCCACGACGTCTTTGCATCCTGGAATCCCCACACAAACGTGTCCTGTACAAGGCCTTTAGGTAGTGACTGGAAAAATCTGCAACAGACGTAAACATCATGAAAGTTCATCTGTGTTGGTAGTTACAAGTTTAAACTTTTGGTCCAACCCAAGAAGTTCTCTCGCTTAGACCTTTCGATGCGACCAGTCACTCTGGTCTTCCTCAGTAAACTGCCATGTGACAAGCCTCACTGGGTCAGTCTACTGAGGAAGACCAGAGTGACTGGTCGAAAGTTCAAAGACATAAACATTGCAACAGTGGGTACAATTTGACCAATAAACAGAGGTCTTTTAACCTAAAGCCTAGGAAAATTTACAGTTGTGTTTCCTGTTTTAGTCCTGAAAAAATTAGGAACTTGGAAACCATTTATGTCTCAGTCATGTTGTGAGGCGACCCTCTTCAAGGAGACCACCTGTCCAAGGTGACAACTTTTCTTTGGTCCCCTGGGTGACCGGCTTGGACAGGTTTGACTGTACTATCATGAAAGTTCATCTGTGTTGATAGTTACGTGTTTAGAGTTCAAACTTTAGATCCAACACAAAAAAATCTCTCACCTAGAGCTCTCGACCAGTCACTCTGGTCTTCCTCAGTAGACTGACCTCTAGCTAGGTGAGAGATTTTTTGTGTTTTAACTCTAAACAGGTTTGACTGTACTCACTGTGGCCAACAGTCCAGGTCCACCAGTACAACATGCTTCATGGCCTGTAGTGAGATGCCCTGTGGCCATTTGGAGGGGTCCTCTTGGTTGACATCTAGAGAAACAGTGCAGTAAAACATAAGTAAGACTACACCAATATATAGTAAAAGACTGAAGTTATTATGAGTATACTTAGTCTAGTAGTTGAAAAGTTATGTAACAGTAAGATCAATCTAGATCTCTTGTGTTGGAAATCATAGTTCAAACTAGGAAAAAAATGTTGCGTTTCCTGTTTCAGCCCTTAAAAAATTAGGGTCGGATTAGGTATGAACAATGGCAATCTCTAATGATCCAATGTGTACAATACAATACAATAAACAAAGTAAAAACTTGCTTGAGGACACTTTTAATGTTTTATTGTCAATGTTCATGTTTGAAAACCAATTGTACAACATTTCATCACTCAGGTGTCAGATCATGGAGCTAGAAAATGTCAATCAGTCCAAAAAACTTATAATTTTATGTCCCTTGCAGGGGTCCACATAAAAAAGGCTAGGGCTGGCAGTTCTTTTCTAGGGTCAGCCAGGAAACACAACATTTTTTTTCCTTTAAGGTCTTACCTGTTTTTGAGAACTCCACTTTTCGGACGTCACTGTTTGTTGTTCCCTCACGTTCCTCCGAGGTTTCCATCTTGACTTCCTCCTGTTTCACCACTAGTTCACCTTGTACCCCATTCTTGCTCTCTTCCTGCAATGTCTTAAAAGCCATGCTACCTTCTTTCAACTTGCAAGGAGGCTGGCACACACGGAAAAACTTACCCTGAGCCTTTGGACTCTTGTGATGTTCATCTTTTTGCGAAGGAAAAGTTTTGGCATGCGGGGAAGTGCCTGGCGAGACCGCAGTCTTGGTAGTCTGAGATTCTGATGCTTCTCTTCCAAGGATAACAGGAATGCTTTGGGAGCTACAAGCTGTCTGATGCCTCTGACTTTCCTTTGGGAGGTTCTGCACAGTTTTTGTGAGCTGTTGAGACGCGCTTGGCACCTTTGGGATGTTTAGAGTCACACTGAAGGTACTTGGTTCACCATTTTCATTCTGGAGTGTTCCTGACGCATTTTTTAAACTGTTGTACCTTCCCTTGCTTTCAGTAATAGGAGAGTTTAAGTCTGTATGTTCAGAAGCAGCCCTATAGCTCTGATCATAGCAGTGTAGCGATTTAGAGTTTGATTGAAGTGTTTGGGACTTGTGGGCAAAATGAGAAGCACCCGTGACACCAGGGTATATTTTGACAGTAGAGTCAATGCGAGGCAAAAAAAGTCTTGGACTGCTTTGTTGACAAGTTGAATGAAGATTTTGGCTGCTAATGTTTTCCTCAACTTTGGGGACTACCTGGGTACTCCCAACACCTTCTGCTTGGTTCTTAAACCTGGCCTCTTGGCTGCCTTTCTTAGAATTTTCTTGAGCCTGAGGTAAGTCACTTCTATTGCAGTTACTTTTAGTTGGTCCTGTTTTGAATGTACAGTCTGCCTGAATGTCACACTGAAGTTCTTCCTCTTTCACCGGGGATTTGGTACGATCCATTTTACTGTTGGCTTTTATAGGTTTGTTACACTTGTTACATTGACCTTTGATCTCTGACCCCTCTGATGACCTTGACACTGAAGCTTGGCTGTTCTGTGTGCTGGTTTCAGGGTTATGAACCGTAGAAACATCGATGGAGCTGCTTAGACTTTGCAGTTTCAACCTTAGGTTTGAGAATTCACCTGACATTGCAGTATGGCTGTTACTGTTGTTGGAATTCCTGCTTTGCGAATCTGTATGAGAATTTGTGGACCTTGACAACGTATTGAAGAGATTCCTTGTGCTGTTGGAAAGTGACGTGATAGTTCCCCCCTCTTGTTTGACATGGACTGTTCCAAGCTTGGCATTACTGCACACTGCAGGTGAATTGGAACGCGCCACCTTTCTTGGCAGAGGGGGGTCCACATCATCGAATGCTTTCCTTTTCGGACTAGTAGTAGTAGAGCTTTCGTCAAGGTTGTCATTCTTGGAATGCTGTGTATCTTTTACTCCTGGCAAATTATTGTTCAAAGGAGTGAAATCCTCACAGTCAAAACCTCCCTGTTGTTCTGTGTCTTGAAAACAACTCGGAAGCATTGCATCTTCTTTCTTTATTGCTTCTTCACTGACAATGACAGTTCTTGTGTCTTGAGATTTTTCTGAGGCATCTCTGGTAGCTGCAGGACACTCCTTCAATTCTGGATGACTTTCTCCAGACCTTGCAAAGACTCGACATATCACCAGCCTTAGTTCTCTCTTGTTCTTTTGTTGCTGTAATTCTGTGTCGCTGCTCCTATGTGCTTCCATGCCTTCTTCTATCATACTGATAGTCCTTCTGAGATGCCTTCCGTTGTAGCTTTTCGTGACGTTACGCTTGTGAAGCCTGGTCAGTTTCAAAGCCAAGCTCAAGAGCGGTGATCCAGGCTTGTTGGGTTCGAAAGCCTCCGCGATAGGATTTCTGAAAGATACGGCAATGTTCTGTACTTCCGAAGGCTCTACCATGGCATCCAAAGACGCCTGAATAAGCTCATCGTCTCTTGCTTGTCTTTCTTCCTTGTCTTGCAGTGAAAACGACTTGAGAGGACCCTTAGAATGGTTCAGAAAGGGCCGATTTGCTTCAAGAATGTCTTCCGATTCGGCTTGATTTTGTTCGGAGTTGTGACGCTCTGAAAGTTCTGTTGCTTCTTCCCCAGAAACTAGGGATAAGTTATCCGAGTCTGCAACTGTTTCTGACTTTGTGGTTGGAGGTTCAGAAATAACTACTTCAGGTGATGTCACTGACATGTCACTTTCTTCTCTCAGAGAAGAGTACACCTTGCTTCCAACATCTTCTTCTAGCATTGTTTCCATTCTGTCTTCTGTACTTAGGGCACTTACCGGCCATTTAAGGTTGATACTCTTGTTACCTGAAACCTCTGGTGTTCTCTCTGTCATGGTTTCGTCAACTGCAGATGACAACGGTGTCATGCAACCACAATCTTCTTCCAACGCACTAAGAATTTCCTGCTGGGTTGGTTCCATGCTGAGGCTGAGCCTTTGCACGCTGTTTTCTAGCAAGTTTGGAATGCCGCTAAGTATAGAGTCCTGTTCAGTGCGTTTCTGTTTCGCTGTTCTGTCGATCAACTTGAGAGTGATCTTACTTTTATTTGCAGATCCTTTGCTGGGAACCGGTACCAAACCTGGTTTAGAAGGTTCCTTATCGTCTTTAGTTGGTGAAGAAGTCTCAGGCTCTGTCTTAGGTTCAGTCTTTATGGTTTCTCCCAGTGGTTGGGCTTTCTGGAGTGGCTTCAGAGGTTTGAGTTTCACAAGAAGCTTTAACGGAATGTCTTTACTTGTTGATGGTTTGTCTGGTGTTGTTTGAGGGATGGTTGTGACGTTGTCTTCTGCTGGTCTTATCGGAACCAACGTTCTGTAGTCGACATCTCCGTCTTTTAATACTCCAGGGTCAAGGTCGGGTTTTAAGAGTCTGTGGTCCACGTCTTTTGTGTACTTCTGTTTCTCTGATGACACTTCTGTATCAAATGACAAGGGCACCTCCACCAAAGTTCGGAGCGTGCTTGCCCGGGGGCTGACCGACGTGTTTGCGGTGGAACTTGGGGCGTCGTAGCGAGGAGGCATGTCTTCCTGAGGGCTGATGACGATGTTGACGTTGTTGGAACGCGCGCAGGCGCCATTTTGTTTCCTGTCCATGACTGACACGTCGCTTGAAGTGTTTATTTCAATGACTTGCCGCTCGGTGACGTTGTGGGCTGACTCGACAATTCTCTGTGACCCAGCTGGCCCAACCGCACCGTGTTCAGGCAGGATTGTTACCATGATCCTTTGCTGCTGCGTGCCGGTTGTTCCCATCATGCCATGCTGTGGGAAATTATTTGGGCCGTGCTGATGAGCACCCATCATGCCTTGCTGCATCTGGCCTGGTCCAACTGATCTCTGTTGGTTGACACCCATCATCCTTTGCTGCTGCATTCCCATCATGCTCTGCTGGCTGACTGCATGGCCCATCATCCTTTGCTGCTGGCCTCGCATCATGAGCTGTTGATTGACGCGAGGACCCATCATGCTTTGCTGACTCACCCCGGGCATTCTCTGCTGCTGGTTACCCATCATGCCTGGCTGCTGGTTACCCATCATGCCTGGCTGCTGGTTACCCATCATGCCTGGCTGCTGGTTACCCATCATGCCCGGTTGACAAACTCCTGGTCCTGTCATCCTCGGGTGCTGGGCTCCCATCATGCCTTGCTGATTCACCACCGGGCGCTGAGCTCCCATCATGCCTTGCTGATTCACCACCAGGCGCTGAGCTCCCATCATGCCTTGCTGAGTCACCACAGGGCGCTGAGCTCCCATCATGCCTTGCTGACTCACCATAGGGCGCTGAGCTCCCATCATGCCTTGCTGACTCACCATCGGACGCTGAGCTCCCATCATGCCTTGCTGGCTCACCACAGGGCCTGCCATTCTCGGGTGTTGGGCTCCCATCATGCCTTGCTGACCAGGCATACCCATCCTGTGTTGCTGAGCCCCCATCATGCCTTGCGGATGCATCCCTGGGCCAGCCATCCTATGTTGCGGTCCTCCCATCATGCCTTGCTGTCCCATCATGCCTGGATGCTGCTGAGGATTTCCCATCATTCTCGGGTGTTGCTGCATGCCTGGACCACCCATCATGCCTTGCGGATGGAACCCCGGCCTGAACGTTTGTTGCTGGAAGTTGTTCATCTTCAGCAGAAGCAGCTCTCACTCGGGATTCAAATCTGAAGGGGGAAAATGGGAAAATTACTAGTATCCATTAAGCTGGCCATAAAATAAATGCTTGCCTGGAATCCCCATCTTGTCCAGTTGCCATGAAACATCTGTGTTTATGCAGGTGCAGTGTACTAGTATGGGGGCCTGCATGCCCTTTTTCGTAAGGCGTAACCAGTCTTCGTAATCCGTAGGCAGCCTCCCAAAAAATCAACGTAATAGTACATCAGCCACAAAGCGTAAAGTCATAATCAGCTCTGAGACTTTTAACATAATTCGTAATCGGCGACGAAAATTTTGTGTAATTCGTAATCTCTCCACCCCCCCCATGCAGGCCCTGATAAATGCTAGCCTGCTGGAATCTCATCTTGTTAATTGTCACGAAAAATCTGTGGGTTTCGAACAGGTGCAGTACTAGTAATAATGTTCTGCCAAAATGCTCTGACACAGCACATTCACAACTGCAAGCAATCTGCTCAAAATATGTAATATGAAATTTTTTATGCAGACCTTGCTATGGTGGCTATAAAAAACTAGATTAATATTCATAAACAATATTGAGCTCTTGCAAAATGTCTTCTCAGTCCACAATATTTCTACAATCAAAGATTATGTTTTGTACCCTGATCTTTTCATTCATGCTACTATAGTACTAAAACAATCAGATTACAAATCATGGAAAGGAAATACAAGGAAACTCATTGACGACAAAAGTTGTAGAATCCAACCTACGGAAATGATTTGCAAATTGTAAACATGTTTTCGAATTTCGTGTCTGCCCTGTTGTTTAAAAAACTCCCCAGGGGATTTTCTGTGGTTTAAAAACAAACCTACACGTACACGAAGGATTCGTCACGCATTTGACAGACAATCTGTTGCATAACGTTAAAAATCTGGCAAGATTTTTGCATTGTCGTCTGAAAATGTACATTCATGCCCAGTCTAGGGGCTTTTATTTTAAACCAATCCCATATGGAACTCCAAATCTCCAAGAAGATTGTCTCACTTTTGTACTGGCGTATTCTTCCTTGAAGAAAGACAATCGTATTGGACAAGGCATCTTACACACCCACCTTTTGTCTTCAGAAACTGGCGTGTAGCTAAGAGATCGGACCAGAAAGTTGAACTGGAGCCCTGGGTTCAGACATTTTGTCAGGCAGGTTTTTTTGCATCCTAATGACTTTTTTTTTCGTAAACTAAATGACAGCATCCACACGCTACATAAATTAAATCCTTACACATCAATTTTGGAAAGAAAACAAAAAAGTATCATTCTTTAAACAAAAATTTTAACAATATATTTTGATGTTATAGCATGTTGATATACTTTTGTATATTTGTTCTCTAATATTTTTGTGATATGTATTTTGTTTGCGTTTAGATTTCCAATATGCCCTTTGACCTTTAAAAATGGCCGCCAGAAGTTGAAAAAATCGCCAAAAAGATTTTCTGCAAATCTTTGTACATTTTTGGTGATCAGATTCGTTTTTATGGAGTATAAACTACTCACGGAAGATCACACGTGTTTTTGGAAGGAACTTCAGTGAGAAAACGTTGCTGGTTTTGAAAGGTATGACCTCAAATCAGTGTATACGTTTGGGTAAACCGGTAACGTTGTAAGCTTGCATATGATATTTAGCTACATGTGACCGCTCCAAATTATATATGTTTATATATAGAAAGTTGAACGGCATTTTAACTTCAGTATAGTAGCTGCTTGTTCTGGATAAAGATATGCATATGTTGTTACAACAGATTTTGAAATTATGCAAATTATTGTCGAAAATAAGATATATTTGTATGTTGACATGTGATATGTAACTGTATGATTTTTGCCAAACAAACCCAGAAACAGAAATAAAATCGTTAAAAATTTGGTCTAAAAGGGGTAAAAAAAACCTCTCCTGTTAATATAACACCAACTTAAAAGGAGGGCCTGCATGCCCTTTTTTGTAAGGCGTAATCACACCTATTTAGTCCTCGCAATCCGTAGGCAGCCTCCCAAAAAAAATCAACGTAATTTGTAGTACACATGTATTACATTAACAGCAAAGCATAAAGTCGTAATTAATTCTAAAACTTTCATGTAATTCATAATCGGTAGCGAAAAGTTTGCGTAATTCGTAATCACTACCTCCCCCCCCCCATGCAGGCCCTCAGTAAGTAGTATAGGATGTTCAGTGAGCTTCAAGAGTTGGAGGAGGAGGAGAGAGTGTTGCAGTCCATACAGACCACTCTACAGGATCAGCTCAACAGACTCAAGGTAATGTTACCTGATTCTGTATTGCGTAATTTGTAAACCTGTGGCCATTCTCTATACAGGCTTATAGAACTGTTGGTTCGGTGGTCTTCGCCTGTTTTCTGATTAGCCCAGTCCGTAGCAGGCTTATAGAACTGTTGGTTTGGTGGTCTTCGGCTGTTTTCTTAGTAGCCCAGTTCTAAAACGGGGGTAATTCAACCAGGCCGGCTATGTTGTCTTTATGCAATCAGAAAATAGCACCTAAAAGTTCCCAAAGAACCTGAAGACCCCCCCCCCACAATTTTGGCATGCTATGGAGGCTAGCCACAGTTGTGTTCTTGCTGCAAAAGTGCCACCTACATTGGCTTTGATCAAGGTGTCTGCCAGACATTGAAATGTAAGCACTTGGTAAGATAATCCCTCGTTGTGCTGAAGAAAGTCTTCAAATCCTAAAGTGTTGCCTATTCTCCTCAGGTTGAGGAGCTGGCCCTGAAGAGTATGATAGCAGAGAAACAGGGAGCAGGGCAGAGTTTTGAGGAGAGAAGAAGTCAGGAACTCAAGAAGCTGTTGTCTGTGAATGAAATGGTGAGTGGAAATCAGTTCTTTGTGATACTACAAAAATGTATCATGAAAGTTCATCTGTGTTGGTAGTTACAGGTTTAGAGTTAAAACTTTAGCTCCAACACAAAGATTCTCTCACCTAGAGCTTTCGACCAGTCACTCTGGTCTTCTTCAGTAGACTGACCCAGTGAGCCTTGTGACATGGCTTCTTTGAAGTGGGCCAGTCTTTTTACTCAAAAACCTCTGTTTATTCTTAAGTGCACATGCACCTTTGAAAAATTGATTTTGTTTTTTTGTGACTCCAGAACTGGTTCCCAACGTTCAGGTTTTTTTGGACTTGAACCTAAACATTTTTACAAGTCCGGAACTAGTTCTAGCAAACGGGCACACAGCACTAATTCAAGATATAACTTATTTTGACAAATCGTAAGATAATAATTATCCTTTTTTTGCACCAATCCAGGAGGAAGAAGACTTTGAGGACCCCAACATTAATGAGACCCCTCTACAGCTGGACCTATCCCAGGGTGCCTTGCTCCAGCAGCCAACCAAAGAAGAGGAATTTGAGGAGGAGGAAGAAGAAGAGGAAGATGAGGAGGATCTTTATGAAGATGGCATCAACAGAGATCTCATGTTACTCATGGACCAAGTCTGTAAAAACCCAGAGGAGATGGAAGAGGATGACAGTTCTTGATGATTCTTGTAGACAGTTGTAGTATCCAGTTAGCCTGGTTCATTTCATTTTACCAGAGTAGTACGCTCAGGTCTACTGACCTGGTTTTCAGGTATCTCTTGGGTAAAATACACAATATACAGGAGCAAACACACAATAAGCATATACATTACAGTTTCAACTCAACATACATGACAATCTTAAAAACATTTGCCACTGGTTACCAAACCTATTATAGCTCCTGAGTCCTACATCCTCTCCACAAATTATGTAGGACTTGGGAGCTATAATAGGTTTAATTGGTAACCAGGCTAGTATCCAGTAGCAGGCCTCGAAATTCAGTTTTGGGAATTCACGAGTTTCCCATTCCCAGTATGCATTTTGCATGGGGGTAAAAATTACCAGGTTGCATAGCGCAATGCATCGTGGGAATGTGAAATTGGTGAATTATAGGTACACCTAAAAAACTGGGTGCACAAAAAGTTGTTGAATGCACCATATGAAATAAAGTAGAATGTCATCATAGTCTAACTACAAAACAGAAAGTGCTATAAGTGATATAGCCAGGATATGGGAAAAAACATGTACAAAACTGTTATGAATAGATTTTATTTTTGCTACTGTACAAAGTTCACACAGCTGACAGTTCATTACTGACTTCCACATTCAAAGTGTTCAGTGTTACGTATATATATACTAGTGACACATGTAAACAATGTAGCTGGCTCCTGTACTGGAATGTCTACTTGAATGATATACATAAAGTTTATGTTGAAGCTGTGTATTTCTTGTTGTGTTACTTTTTGTCTCTTTCCTATTATATAGGATGTTTACATGGCTACATTAACAGTCCTAAGCATATCTGCTGATAGAGTTCTAAATCTAAACAATGTTTGAGACAAAATACTTTCAATTTTGATCTGCAAAAGTCTTGAAACTTAATATACAGCAACATACTCTTCATTCTTAGCCTCTACCAGGCTTTAGAAGTGGCTGGAAAGAGTAAAAATTGGCCAAATAGACAGGGGAGTCGGTCCACTAAAGGAGTACAGTTTGTAATTTTTTTTTTTTCTGAGAGGCAAGCTCCTCTTTTTGCAGACCAACTCCCCTGGCATGTTATGATCTATTGGCCAATTTCTACTCTTTCCAGCCACTTTTGAAGCCTGACAGAGGCTACTTAATGCTTGAAAACATAGAAAAATGAAAAGTTCCAGTTGAAGACTGAATATGTTCAGAGAGGGCTTGTTTTTTTCTTTGCAGTTCTTACAAATAGGAGAAATGACTTGTTGTAGTGGGTTAGTCATCTCTGGTGCCCCCTGCACTGGCTGTAACAACACAAACCAAATGTTAGAGAAATGACAGAAATATCTTTTAAAAAATATTCAAACACAACAAGGTACACACTATTCGAACCTAGCACCTTCAAAACATATTTTTATGTGCAAATCATGTGCATTTTGTACATTGCACATGGGTATTCTGAGCCCTGTATTTAGTTCCAGGAAAAAAAATTGCAGTTAAGACATCCAGCTCTAGCCTGGGTGCCAGACTCATAGCACACTGAACACATGCTCACTGAGATACTTTATGTAGATAGTGTGCCATGGGTCTGGCACCCAGGCTCACCTTTCCCATCACAGGCCACGATCTTGACCTTGTCGACTCTGATGATGTCTGCCACGTCGCGGAACTCCATGTCGTTCAGAACAAACGTCCAGACGTTGTCGCAGAAACGGTACGTCCTCAGGTGACCCTGAAGAAAAGAAAAATCCTAACTGTTATTTGAATTCCAGACATACACTGTGTTTCTTTAGCCTCCGTAGCAGGCTTATAGAACTGGGGGTTTGGTGGTCTTCGGCTGTTTTCTGATTAGCCCAGTTCTAAAAACGGGGGTAATTCAACCAGGCCTGCTATGTTGTCTATATGCAATCAGAAAATAGTACATAAAACCTCCCAAAGTCCATGAAGACCCATCAAAACCTACAGTTTTTGGCATGCTGTGGAGGCTAGTGTTTCTTTAGGCAGGGCTAGAAATACTTTCATCTACATACATTGTATCTGCAATTGGGTAAAAAATCAACACCATACTCCATAGCATGTCCATGTAACACAAGATTTCATACCCATGTACCCTGTTGTAGTACTGTACAAAATCCCTAGAGCATCCATAATTGAACTTGACCTTTGTTGCCCCCACCCTAACCTACCTACAAAATACAGTAACATTACAATGTATTGAAAAGATACACAAACTGCACCCCAAGTTTTAACCAATTAAAAATCTGCATACCCTATATCTGGTACACCTTAAAAAAATTTAACACAGAACCATAACCTTCTTAATGAAGGTAATTAGCCTAATGAAGAAGTTGCAGTTTCTATGTCTGACCTTGAAGTTGAGTCTGTTCCTGACCCTGGTAGCCAGAGCGTTGTTAATGGCCTTGTCAAACTGTAACAGGACCTGCAGGGCCAACTGGGGGGTGATCTGCTGGGACTGGAGGTCAAACAACAGAAAAATGACCTGTTAACATACATATCCTTGATACCATCTTCGGGATGAGAAGGCTTGCCTGTAGTAATCCCGGTCTCAAACTTTACTCATGTGTTGTACTTCATACTCTCCCAATGTTTGTCTAACCATGTCTTAAACTCGTTCACTGTTTTTGAGTCGACTATGGACTGTGGCCAGTGGTACTAGTAATATCAGGGCTGGAAATATTATACATGTATACGTTTTTCTGCGTACCTACACTCGAGCAGGGAACATTGAACCAAGACCAGATGCAGACAAATTTTACCTGCACCACTCAGAATTTAGGAAGTATGGATCACAATAAAAACTGTTCAGAAACCTTTGCCATTGCTTATTTCTTTTAATATCTTATATCTTTTAATAATAATTATACTCCATAGGTGCCTTAGGTGGTGACACTAACAGTCAAAACAGCAGGTAAAAATCAAGACCTACATGTATCTAATACTATAAACCTACCAGTAGTACATGGTGCAGGTTAGACATCAGAAACTACCTGCACTATTATGGTGCATATGCACCCAGTAAAATGACATCTGAAGTTTCTCCCCATACTTTTACAACCGTAAAAACATCCACATACGGCCAAGTTATTTCTACAACACACGAAATTCTAGCTTGTTTTACACCAGGTACCTGTATGAGCTCGTCCAGACTCTCCTGTAGTGTATTACCGATGGTGGTGTTCCGGTATAGCTGGTACGCCATCTTGTTTGCGCGGGTTTCTTTGTTTGGGCGAAGAAAAAAAAAACAAGAACGAATTTCACAAAATTTAGCCCGACCCTGCACAGGTTTTCCAACCTGGTAAGTCTATGTCCTCTGTAGACTGTGGTACTAAATGTAAATTCTGTCCCAAACCCCTAAATTACGGTAAAAAAGACAATTTTGAAGACGAACAAGTTGCGAGCATCCACAGCCTTCTAAATCTCACCAGGGTTGCAGTTCAGTAAAATCTCGCAAGGGGGCAGTTCTTACCTGAGCATATCATCACCTCTAACCTATGGTCTATGACCTTTACAGGTTGTTTTTCTTGCCTGATCACCAAAAACACGATTTGAGGGGCGTGAACATATTTTTGTTTCCTGCAAAGTTACTGGTTAGTATCGAGTGATTTTTGCACTGCTAATCGACGTTTAAAGCTCTGAAGTTTGGATCAAGTTATTGAAAGAGAAGTTGTTATCTAGTATTAGTATAAAAAGTAGAAAATGATACCAGCTGAAACTAAATACCTGAACTTGAAGTTAATAACTAACGTTAGTTCAGGGTCATAACCAGTGAATATATTTTGCTGCTATTTTTCATCTGTTGTTGTTTTAATAAGTTATAATTTTTTTTCGAACAGGGTGATCCAAGATGCACAGTCAGTGGAGAGATTGTCAGGTAACGTTAATGTTTTCATTTCTTCTTTCTTAAACTAAATCTACACGAGTTTGTGAGAGTATCTCATGATGAGTTCCCTATATGTGTTGGAACAAAGCTTCTGTATCTGTATCCGTATAGCCGGTATAACTGCCTTTCCGCGTAACACACCCTGAGCTTCGCAGGCACGCGGCGCGGCGGCAGCTGGCTACATTACACTGATCAACTTGTTACACCTAACCCTTGAACATCTAACTCTAGACATTGTTTAAAGCTATCTAATGACAATGCCCCTACTGTAAACAGCTTGAACTGTTTATAAGTTGTTTCGCTGTTTTCAGGAGTGGTCCAAGATCAGCCTGCCTTTCTCCACCACCAGTAACGAGGCCTGTAAGATGTACGATGCAGTCCTTACTCAGGTAGAACAATCTTTTAAGTTTTGTAAGTAGTACATTATTACATCTAGTTTTGCCGTTTTTGTATTTACAACAATACAAGGCTTGCAGTGTCTTACTGTACTAAACCAGCACATGGGCAGAATGTAGGCTGCACCTGCGCGAAACCCGTACTAGTAATGTATTTTGCATAAGTACTTCGGCAGAATGTCTCATATAAGGTCCTATACACGTATATAAGGTTAACACTCCGTTTGTAGTTTCCAAATGTTATATCAACGTTGGAAAACATATCCTCTGCAACAGGCAACATTCTAATGCAACGGTGACCAAACATCCAACGAAAACTGTGAAAAATCAGGGTTTTGCGCAGGCGCACTACGTTTTGCTGACATGCTTACTAAATCTTGTGTTTAAAGTTAAAACTTTTGGTCCAACACAAAAAATTCTCTCACCTAGAGCTTTTGACCAGTCACTCTGGTCTTCCTCAGTAGACCTCAGTTGACGTCACACTTCAAAGTAGCCACATGACAAGCTTCACTGGGTCAGTCTACTGAGGAAGACCAGAGTGACTGGTCAAAAGCTCTAGGTGAGAGAATTTTTTGTGTTGGACCAAAAGTTTTAACTTTAAACACGTAACTACAAACACAGACGAACTTTCATGATAGTAAATCTTGTGTTGTTTCTACAGTATGTTGGCTGGTACGATGACTCCAGTGTTGGGGGAGTGGACACCAGCCTGGAACGCCTGCTTCAGGCCGACCCAAACTTTGGTACATCGCCTTTCTCAGTAAAGAGACTCTTTTTACATAACCAAGTACACACACACACACACACACATTACCTCCTTGCACATACACACACACACACACACACACACACACATATATACAGGGAATTGTATCTACAATCCAACTCCTGTACAATGCATGTTCGAGACCGCATTGTAGATACAGTATATGTGTAAATAATGTAAATATGGTACATTTGGAAATCAATCAATCAATCAATCAATCAATCAAATGTATCTATAGCAGCGACACCTGTGCTGTATTAAATTCAATGTGAACCAGTCAGAATTGCCCTGAGGAAGGTGACCGTCAGCCATTTTTTCCCTTAGGCCTAAACTTAAACCATTTTTCTCACCAGTGATGGGAAAGGTCCTTGCGACTGGTCTGGAGCTGCTGGGTACAGGGAAGTCCATATACACAGACACAGGATTGAGGGAAGGGGTAGAGGATCTGAGGAAAACTGTCCAGAAGAACGTAGTAAACCCACGGGAGAAGAAACATGCAGAAGCAGTACAGCTCTGGGCTGAGGGGTGAGGCACTTGTCAATGTTAGCCTTAGGGGGAAGGGGTGGGCACTTATCAATATTAGCTATAGGGGAAGGGGTGGAGAATCTGAGGAAAATTGTCCAGAAAAAAATGGGGTGAACCCAACTGCAGCAATTTGTATGTTAAAAACTTTGAAATGTTTTAGGGACATGACTGGAGCCTCCTTCTTCCATTGGATATCCCCCTAGCAATTGTCTTTAGAACTGCAGCAATTTTTTTGTTTGTGTAATTTTTCAGGGACATGACAGGAGCCTGTGACAAGTGGGAGACTATCCTACTGGAACATCCCACAGACATGCTGGCCCTTAAGATGGCCCACGACACTTACTTCTATCTGGGACAGTCTGCCCCCATGAGAGACTCCGTTGCTAGGGTGTTCCCCGCCTGGAAACCAAGCATGCCACATTACTCGTGAGTCTTCTTTTTATGTTTTACTGAAGGAAAACATATTGTTTTTGCTCAGTTTCCTCTTCCTCTTCTTCTCCAAACACTAACCTCTGACCTGGCCAATGACCTGATTTGTTGACGTCTGTCACCATGGTAACTGGTTTTCGGTTACATCATGTTGCAATGTTATAGTAGGAGGGATTGAGACTAAGTTTTTGTGTTTTATGTCTGTAGGTACCTGTACGGATTCCACTCCTTTGGTTTGGTGGAGACAAACTTCTATGACCAAGCTGAGAAAGCTGCCCGGAAGGTAACATCATTTTTCAATTCATTCAATTCAAAGTTAGGGTTAGGGTTAGATGATGCTCGCGGATGATTGAATTGTTAGGGCTCGAGTTAGCGTTAGGGTTAGCATTTAAGGCTTAAGGTTAGGGTTTAAGGGTTAGGTTAAGGCTAGGGTTAGGGTTAGGGTTAGGGTTGGGGTTAGGGTTTAAGGCTAGGGCTAGGGCTAGGGCTAGGGCTAGGGCTAGGGCTAGGGCTAGGGCTAGGGTTAGGGTTAGGGTTAGGGTTAGGGCTAGGGCTAGGGTTAGAGTTAGGGCTAGGTTAGGGTTATAGGGCTAGGGTTAGGGCTAGGGCTAGGGCTAGGGTCAGGGTCAGGGCTAGGGCTAGGGTTAGGGCTACAAAGGCTAGGGCTAGGGTTAGGGCCAGGATAATTAAGGGTTAGGGTAACCATTATAGGGTTCGGGTTGAGGGTTTGGGTTAGGGTAAGGGTCAATAGTCGATTGTTGTAACTGATGTTTCAGGGTTTGGAGCTGAACCAGAAAGATGCGTGGTCCACCCACTCCATGGCCCATGTACTGGAGATGGGAGGACGGCAGGACGAGGGAATCGCCTTCATGTCAACAACTATGACAGACTGGAACGTAAGACAACAGACTGACACCTCTCTTATTTTGCCTTTAGAGTAGAAAGTTTAAGAAAATGCTGTCATCCTTGCTTTATTTTGCTATCTCTGATAGCACGTCAGCAGAACGTACTGCACCTGCGCAAAACCCGTAATCAGTTAATATATTGTGCATACTTTAGCAGAACATCTCATATATAACAATCCATATATAGTTTCCAAATGCAGTGTCAGACAAGATATTGTCTGCAACAGGCAAAATTCTGATGCAACACTGACCGAAAATCCAACAAAACTCATGAAAAATGGGGGTTTTGCGCAGGCGCAGTACGTTCTGCTGACATGCTACCTCTGATGGCCTTTTTTTGTGTATAATTACAGACCTGTGGTATGCTGGCCTGCCATAACTACTGGCATTGGGCGGTGTACCATGTGGAGAAGGGAGAGTACATGGCTGCGCTCGACATCTATGATAACGAGTGTGGGGCCCGGTCTAAAGGGTCGGGCGCTCTGCTGGACATTGTGGACGCCTGCTCGCTTCTGTACAGGCTCAACATGGAAGGTAAAGCCCCTGTTTTCTTCATTCTTCCTCTAGGAGGTGCAGCTAGCAAACTTTTGTTTCTGTCAGTGATAGTGGACAGAAGTTCTGATCCTTGCAGACCTGTTTCAGACTCAATGAGTTTCTTAAGAGTTGTTACAGGACAATCAATCCTCTTTTTTGCATCTGGAGTCCAAAGTTCCTGTCACATATGGTTTATTATTGTTCCAAACTCTTTGCAGCTCATGAGCTGAATTGCGAGTTCTCATGTACATATACAAATTTCAAATAAGTTGACATATGAAACCGGTCTAAAAAGTTTACAAGACAACAAGCAGGCGACAATACATATTTAACAGGCGACACTTTAATTCCGGACTGACACTCTAATTCCGGACTACCTTTCACCATTAAGACATAGTTTGACAAGGAGACTTAATATTCTAGAATATGTTGTACTACTCGCTGAAAGTTACGTAGGTATCATCGATAGGTCCCCTGGGACTAGGTCAGTTCTGCAGAATTCTGCAATCAGATGCAGAATTCTGCGCAGAATTCTGCATTTGGGTGCAGAATTCTGTGCAGAATTCTCCATCCAAATGCAGAATTAGCGCCGCAGCTGTGGCGGTCTGCGTTGCGCTGCGTCACATTTGGTGAACCCTGACTTGCCGTGACCTTTGACAGGTGGGAACTGAAGTGATGTTTTTCATGGGACAAATGATGATTTTCTTCTTCTCTCGCGCGTACTTGCAGTGCCAGGCATGGCGCAGAAGCGGCTTGGGGTCTCTCATATCATAGGGATCGGAACCACGATATCCAAAGGGCAGCTTTCCAGTGTAGCCACAATTACAGAAAATTCTGTCGCAGTTACACATCCCGATCAAACAGCGTGTTTCAGCGCTGCTTCAGTTAGAGCTGTTGACTTCCGCCTGCTCAGCAAACAATCAGTAAGGCTGAGCGCTAGCAAACAATCCGTACAAAATAATTCGAGGAAACAATTAACAACAAGTAGAAATTGATAAAAAAATTTGCATATGACCCATGACCTACTTTGACGTGGTTAATGGGCTGCGCGCGACGTGGATCTGTTTACATGATGTTTTTCCACGCCGCAGACACCTGCTGTGTGTCGCGATGCACTTGTGGCACCTCCTGAAGGTGCCACAGAGAAAACGACGCAAGGTGCTGCGCGGCGGTGGGGGGGCCTGTTTACACGCTTGAAAAATGTGTCGTACAGATCGCGCACGCGTCAAATGACGCCCAACACACAAAAGCGATGCACTTGTGAACCGGGCCTTAGTTTCCAGTACAATTGCAACACGGATTCATCTCAAAGGCAACCACAGTCCTCTTAGAAGCAAAGCTCATCATCAGGTATCATAAATATTCTGTAGCAGTAAAGAAAAGGAATCGTAATATGTTTAGATACATTGTGCATCCAGAGTGTACCTAAAAGTTTACTTGAAACTACACTCTGGGGTGATGCTTGTGTATTGGATTCTGCCCTTGTGGGTGCTTAGATTGCTACTGGCTTGAGCACTGATTAGTTATGGTCCCACCCACATGATTGTTAAAACAAACAAATCCTTAGGGCTGGCCCACACTCCCAGAAAATCTTCATTAGTCACACCAGGGCTCCTATAAAATCTGCCACACATGTACATGCATGGTATGTGCCTGCTAAGTATCTTGATGACAGGTGTCCTGTCCCTGTGTAACACAAACCCTCATTGGAGCTTCACCCAATAGCCTACCAAACCCAGCTGTGACAACCCCCAAGTTGACAGAATTAAAATTATAGGTCATACAGAAAGAGAAGACGTGTTTGATAGCAGTTGACTCATTATTAGGTATTTAGGCAAACCCACCTGCAACTTGATACTAGTAGTCAATGTAGTTTGGATATAAAAACATAACTGCAGAACAGTCATCATCAAACATGCAGATATCTCTGATTGTTTAGTACTGCTGTAGAAATATCCTGGGTGCCAGAACTCACCGGCAGCCCTTAGAATTATAATCTCTCTTTAGTGATCTTGTCAACCATGTTTCTGCCCAACCATAGAGATGTAGAACTCTGCTCTCAGCATGTGGCATCTCAAGGGAGATTGTGTTGCATTGGTGTCTGGCATCTCCATTGGTGGACAAATCAAAGAGAGGCCACCAGAGGCCACTGGGCCTTGCTTTTGAAGGCATGATATGCTTCCATGCACCTTTGTAGGAATTTGAACATGTAGATTCTTCTATTAAAGTCTGATAAAATGATACAATGATAAAGTTGCATGAATTAAACTTGCCATATATAGATATAAAGTACTAGTAGTCTGCTTATAGTCTGTGTCCTCAAACTTCAGTTATTTTTTCCAGCATTCCTTCACCAACAGAGGCCCTCTAACAAAACAAAATGTTGCCCCTCGGAGGTTGACCCATAGGCATAGGGGGAATTGGGGTCAGTTGAATGACCTACATGTAAGAAGGTTCCAGGCCTGAGCCTGACCCATGAAATGTATTCCTGAGAAGGCTAGCTTAAATTATTTTGTTCTACTTCTAGACTGAAGGCAAATAACCAAAAGACCTGAGAAAGTACTCAGTCTGTCATATCCTAATTCTAGATGTACCTTTACCTTTTACCTAGTCCCATCCTCATGTCTGAGGGATGGGGACTAATAAACTGGTGGATGTCCCAACTACTAAGTACCTAATACCAGCTCAGAAGAGAACAAGAAATAGCCACGCATACAAGTACCAGAGTTATCAACCAAGGATTGAGGTGTTCAAGAATTCATTCTTTCCTAGAACTATCGCAGAGTGGAACTCACTGTCACCAAGTACAGTAGGGGCATTGTCAATAGATAGCTTTAAACAATGTCTAGAGCTAGAAGTTCAAGGGTTAGGTGTAACAAGTCGATCGGTGTAATATAGCCAGCTGCCGCCGCGCCGCGTGCCTGCGAAGCTGGTGTGTTACGCCGAAAGGCGGTTATACCGGCTATACAGATACAGATACAGATATACTAGATGTACTAGATGTACAGATGGATTATATCCCCAGTACCAGTATGTGTATCAAAAACACAAACAAACAAACATGCACACAATTGCACAGAGATTTTTTGCTACAATGTACATAAGATGAAAGGATAAATACATTGTATTTCCCATTTCAGATATTTTAGAACAACTTTGCTTCATCTATCTGGTATTCAATCCAATGAGCCAGCCATGCTTCAGTTCAGTTTTCAATGATGTAACTTAACACAGAGAGACCTTGCAAAACAGCGTTTCCTACAAGCATGCACTCATACATGTAAATGTAAAAACAGAAAAGATTACAGGTTAGATTCAGAATAGCAGTGAAAATTCCTTTATGTTGCAGTATATTACTACAATCTGCAATGACAGCAGCTGCTAAATCCATCTGTATCCTGTTAGTGCACATCTTTCTGTTTCGTGAACAAATTTAAAAGAAAAGAAATTGCATTGATGAATTTGCTAATTTGATAACGCCGTGGCTAATGACACTCCAGGAGTGGATATAAGGAACAAACAATTTTTAGGCCACACCAATTTAATTTGTTGGTTCACTGAATTTTTCAGAAAAAATATGAAGCGACATGCATGGTGAAAAAAAAAATAATAAAAATAGGTCTAGACATCCTAATCTAGCCCCAAATGCTAGTATAGTAGTCATGAAGTCAACACAAAAGGCTGGGTTAATGTTCAAACAATGAATTGTGAACTTTTAATCAAACCACACTTTCTACATTGATATACATGTATGGAAGAAAACTGTAACAACTAGGAAAAAAGGACTTTCCTCAACTGTTGGGGGTAAAATATGAGCAGTTTTGAGTTGATTCAGAACCAGAACTTTTTCTTTTTTTTTTAAATCAGAAAAAATGAAGAGGCTAATCCGAGAACAAACAAATTTAATTGGTGTGGCTTTATATCCACTCCGGAATACTTGCCTCTGTGGCAGGCCCAAAACTTTGGTTTTGTGTATTTAGGGCTTCAGGGGCTTCAAGCTTTAATCCCGGGCTTCAAGTTTAACTTAGTGGATGTCGAAAAGGCTGACAATCACAAAACAACACAGAACTCCCACAAATTTTCAACATGGACACGATACAAGGCAGGCAGTTTTAGAAAAATACCCACGTCAAGCTCAGTAAGGTGTCAAGCAAAACGGTTGAAAACGAAAACCGTAAGTTGCCGGAAAACGTTGAAAAGTTCCCATGTCTATAGAGCGGCAAAGTTTGGCTGACCAGCCAAACTGTCACATACAGTATGGCTGAGCTCACCAGAACAGTTCAAATCCCCAACATCCACAGGACTTGATCCATTGTCAAAACAGTTGGATTGGCCATTCCTTGTGAAATGATACAGGAAAAGAATGTATAATTATTGATTCTTTGATTGTTAAGTTGGCTAAACTAGGGGGAAATTTTGCTATTACTATACTATACAAATTTAGAATTTCAATTTCTATAAATAAATAACTAAAATTTTGACATAGATAAGGCCACACCAATTTAATTTCTTGGTTAACGGATTTTTCTAAAAAAATAATGAGGCAGGCGGGCGAAAAAAATAAAAACAGGCCTAGGCATCCTATTATGGCCCAAAATAGTACAAGAGGAGCCATGAAGTCAACACACCAGGCTGGTTCAAAATTTAAACAATGAATTTTAAACTTTTAATGATACTACTGCATTGAAAGATGGAATGACTGTAACAAGTAGTAAGAAAAGGACTGTTTTCAACTGTTCAGGGCAAAATATGAGCATTTTGCAGTTGATTCTGAATTTTTATTTTTATTTGCAAATCAGAAAAAAATGAAGCGGCGAATCCTTTAACCAAGAAATGAAATTGTTGTGGCCTAATCATATAAAAAATGAAAATCACAAAATCCAAAAATTATGTTAATATTTAGTTATGTTAATAATTAGTATCTATCTATCTATCTATCTATCTATCTATCTATCTATCTATCTATCTATCTATATATCTATATATCTATCTAAAAGTAT